ATGATGTTACTACCCCCATGCTTCACAGTAGGGATGGTGTTCTTGGGATGCAACTCATCCTTCTTTTTCCTCCAAACACGATGAGTGAAGTTTAGACCAAAAAGTTCTACTTTGGTCTCATCTGCCCACATGACTTTCTCCCATGCCTCCTCTGGATCATCCAGATGGTCTTTGGCAAACTTCAGATGGGCCTGGACATGTGATGACATGAGCAGGGGAACCTTCCGTGCAATGCATGATTTGAAACCATGATGGCGTAGTGTTCTACCGACAGTGACCTTTGAAACTGTGGTCCCAGCTCTCTTCATGTCATTGACCAGCTCCTCCCTTGTAGTTCTGGGCTGATTCCTCACCTTTCTCATCATCCGTGATACCCCACGAGGTGAGATCTTGCATGGCGCCCCAGTCTGAGGGAGACTGACAGTCGTCTTTAGCCTCTTCCATTTTCTAACAATTGCTCCAACAGTTGATCTATTTTCACCAAGCTGCTTGGCAATTGCCCCGTAGCCCTTTCCAGCCTTGTGGAGGTCCACAGTTTTGTCTCTGGTGTCTTTTGACAGCTCTTTGGTCTTGCCCATGGTAGTAGTTGGCGTCTGACTGACTGTGGGGTGGACCGGTGTCTTTAAAGAGCTCAGACAGGTGCTACTAATTTAGATTAATGAGTGGAGTAGAGGTGGACTTTTTCAAGGCACAGTAACAGATCTTTGAGAGCCAGAATTCTTGCTGTTTCTCAGGTGTTCAAATACTTATGTTCAGCAGTGCAAGACAAATAAAGTCTTTAAAAATCATACAATGTGATTTCCTGAAATTTCTTTTTTAATTCTGTCTCTCAGAGTGGGAATGCACCTACAATGTGAATTTCAGACCCCTCCATGATTTCTAAGTGGGAGAACTTGCAAAATCGCAGGGTGTTCAAATACTTCTGTTCCTCACTGTATATGCTCAGTGCCCAGTTTACTAGGTACACTGTACAGTCTAAAGCAATGCAATACGGCTGTTCTGCTATAAAGCCTAGTTTTATTATATCTTTTTGTTTTCACTGTCATAGAAGTTTTCATTCAGTTATAAAAACTGAACATTTTGAGCTTTATAAAGATGGATGGTGTATTGGATTTCATCCTGTATATTGTATTGAGCTGTGCTGAAGAAGCTGTCCCCATGCATTTTCTTTGACCCGGTACCTAAAAGAGTATATAAGTATTATAGCATTATAGTGCTTGGTGTTACAAGAAAAATAAATCTGTGTGTAGGTGATGATTATTGATGGCCATCAGCTGAGAACCGACCCTGCAGCAGTGATGAATGAAGTTCAGAAGTTCCTGGGAGTAACTCCTCATTTCAACTACTCCCGGGCCCTTACGTAAGTCTCTCACACAGTATGTCAGTGTCTGCGTCTCTCTCCCTTCAGTCTCTGGTTCCTGGCACTTTTTACTTGGGTACTGTGATAGAAATGATTGTTCACACTGAAACTAGAACAAGACCCCAAATCCAAATCTGTGTGAAGCCTGACATCTGCTGGTGAGCAGCGGAGTAATAGACTGACTGTCTCCTTTTTTCTAGTCTTTGGTACCGGGTGGTGTCAGACTCTGCAGAGTACAACAGACAATGATGTCACCTGACATCAAAGATCAGTCAGTAGCAGATGGTCAGTCTACGTCTCGCTTTGACCCATTAAATGTCTTGCTTTACACACATTTAAGTTTGAGGTTTTGGTGGTGTCTGACAAGAGAAAAAAAGACAGACAGATTACAGATGATATGTATACAAGATGGGCAGGAAGTGATGTGACAAAAAAGAGAAAATAAATAGCAAGGAAGAAAGTGATGATAACATGAGTGAATGCATTCATTTCACCTAAAATCTGTCACATCTAAGTACATAAGGCACTGCAGAAGTTTGTCAGTGTAATGACAAATGAATGGAGTGCAAATATAGAAAGGAGATTTTTGTTGTGCATTATTTTTGTTCCTTTATTAAGGAATGACTTGATTGCCAGTACTAAACAATAGACAGTCTTGTGTGGTGTTCCTGGTCTGCAGTGGTTAATGCCTATCACAAGTGGTCCAAGGAAGGACAACCGATGAATGGCGACAGGGTCATAGATGCCCAAGGCTAACTGATTTACATGGGAGGCGAAAGCTAGCCTGTCTGGTCCGACCTTACAGAAGAGCTACTGTACAATAGACAGGTGTCAGGACACACACTGCAGTGTCCACCGACCGGCAGTGCGCCCATGCTGACCCCTGTCCACTGCATAAAGTGCCTACAATGGGCATGTGAGCACCAGAACTTGACCATGGAGCAATGGGAGGAGGGGACCTTGTCTGATGAATCATGTTTGCTTTGACATCATGTGGATGGCAAACTGTGTGTGTGCGTCGTTTACCTGGGGAAGAGCTGGCACCAGGAAGCACAATGGCAAGAAGGTGAACTGGCGGAGGCGCTCTGATGTTCTGGGCAATGATCTGCTGGGAAACCCTGGGTCCTGGCATTCATGTGGATGTTACTTTGACACCTTCCTAAACTCTGTTGCAGACCAAGTTTTCATAGCCACACTGTTCCCTGATGGCAGTAAGCTCCACTGCAGTGCCACACTGCAAGATTAGTTCAGGAATGGTTTTAGGAACATGACACAGAGGTGTTGCCTTGGCCTCCACGTTCCCCAGAGCTCAATCCAACTGAACGTCTGTGGGGTGTGCTGGAATAACAAGTCTGATCCGTAGCAGCCCCAGTTCGCAACTTTCAGGATTTAAAGGATCTGCTACTGATGCCCGGTGCAGAGGACACCTTCAAAAATGTTGGGCGCCGTTCTGTAGGGGTGGCGCGAGGGGGGGGGGGGGGAGAAATTATGGCTTTAACTGTGTAAGCAATGTATTGTACAACATAGCCTGCTAATATACTGAAATTTACCATAAATAAGTAACATGGACATAGAGTTGCTGTAAAGATTGTTGTGTCAAAAGGCATATTGAATTGACTGAGGCACATTTTCTGTAGTTTATACAACTTAAATGCAGGTATAATATGCCTGTACAACCAGTGTATTCAGATATTAATATATGTTGCATGTAGGAAGGGGTGTCTAAATTATGCAAGTCAACCAAACTTTCTAGAGTTGTAATACAGCTCAAGAGAATTGGCTGTTGCCTCAGTTTCAACTCATTCCCCATTAGAGATGTTGCAAGTACGTTTTAAGTTTGGGAGGACTGGTAAACTGTTTATTTCTCAAGCACCACTCATCAGAATGCAATCTGCCTGTGAGCCCTCAAATCTCCAGACAGGGACATCTAGAATTTGTAGCTCAGATTGGGACAGAGAGTGGCTCCGTCTTGAATCACAAACCCATATGCATACAAATAATTTGTAAATTGATGCATTTTGACAGAATAATAAAGATGCCTGGTGCACCAGTGTGGTTGTGTGTGTATGTGTGCACTTTGGGTGAAGACCGAGTTGAACAAAAGCCTAATCTTTCTTTTCTCCTTCTCATTCTTTTGACATGGCAGCGGTCTGACAGATCCTCAACACTGAAGCCTATTTATTTAATCCCCCTCTTCTTTCTTCCTCCTGTCCTGTCAGATGAAAATTGAAGGAGAACCACTTACCTCTTTTTTCACTTTTATTCACCCACTGATGCTTGCAGATAAAGAGCAGTATTTGCATCTTTTAGTCACATCCACATTAGCCCTTTAACTGTGACTGACAAATAGCAAATAACAATATTATCTTTGTTCTGTAGCTGTAGTTTGTGCTTCTATACCACAAAAGACCACATATGCAGGCATACGTATTGTATAGACACATGCTGTAAATCTAGATACATATACTGTATATGTATATGTGCATATACTCTATATACTGTATATATAGGACACAGGAGAACAAGCATATGCATTTACTTTTGAAAGTCATCCACCTATTAAAACATTTCTCTCTCACATTTTTATATTTTTTACATTCTGTGATAAAATAAAGATTATTCTCAGATACTGTTATTCCCCAGTAATTACATTTCTTTTGGAATCCAATTCTAGGCTTTTGATTGGATGGATAAAAATAAAAACCCTTAATACGGATTAGTGCATTATAAAATGCAAACCAACTGGTAGTGGCACTGTAGCCTGGTTGTTTTTACACACAATGAACACACATAAATAAGTAATCACATTTTAAAATTAAATGTCCGTAGAACGGAGTACACAAGACAAACCAAAGCCTATTCATCTCAAGCTCTACCATGACAAGCGGATTACTGTACTAACCAAAAAATGAGCCATACTCGTGTACGCAGCGTGGGTAATGCGCTGAGAAAAAGAGAAGGAGAGGCTGAAGGGTGAGAGAGATGAAGCAGACAGGGTGACAGCCAAGCAGACTCATAGACAGCACAAGAGTAAGAGGCAAACAGAGAGTGTGTTGAATACATAGTGACATTTATGTCTGGTTTGTGAGTGTAAGATGGGCCCTCTTTTTCAGGCCTAATTTCCAAAAGAATAAACACTGCCAAATGTTATAGTCAACATAGCTATGGTGTTTTATTTTCAAAGCCAGCAGTTTCATTTTTCTTTTAAGATATTTATTTTTGCCACATCTTTCTGTCTATTCTTCCCCCAGGTTTGACCCTCAAAAGGGCTTTTGGTGCCAGCTCCTTGAGGGAGGAAAGACAAAATGTTTGGGAAAGAGCAAAGGGCGGAAGTACCCTCCGATGGAGTCAGAGGTAAACCAAACTATGCTCGGGGGGGGGGAACAATTGATATATGCATTGAATGCAATGAAATGTTTGAAAAAAGAAGCAAATAAAAAAGAAAAAGCAGCAGTGTAACTCACAGTGACAGTCCACAGCCCTCTCCATCACTGTGGCAGAATTTCCCACAGGACACAGTAGAAGGATGGATACTGTCAGCCAATCAGATCCAGCCAGAAAGTTGCAACCTAATTATGAAGACTCGATAGTGATAGAACACCCACGAGAGAGGGTATGAGGAGATTAGGATGGAGAGAGAAAGGCAGAAGGGGAAAAAAAGCCAATCGATACATTTTTGTCCTGGCTTCAATTTACACAGAGAAGATGAATCACACATTTGCTCTTACATGAAGTCTAAACACACATCGCTACAATTTGTCTTCCCATATGTGCTCACACATGGCTAATGGCTGCACCTCGGTGTCATCTGAAGTTAAACTGTATTTGAGTTTCCACAGGGGGAACAGGAGGAGAGGACAGATGAGGGAGGGAGGGAATGAGAGAACACCAGGGAGGAGAGACGAGAGAGGGCGAGAGATGCTCTGTTCATACTACTCAGCACTTAGTGGCCCTAAAGTCCTACTGAGAAGAAATAAACTAATCTAAAGATAGTGACATACCATTAATCTCGCTCTGTTTCTTCTTTGCCCCCCACGTCTGTGCTGTCTTTCTCATTTCCTTTCCTAAATATTCCAACCCTTCTTCCATTCTCTGTACTTTCTTCCCGTTCTGGCCATTTTCCATATGCCCTTTTATACTTTCTTGCTTTCCTGT